GTGTTCTGTAAAGGAGACTGTCCGTTTTCATGTCGCACTGATTGCTGTGCTTTGACTGACAAAAGCTGGGGTAAAGTAGTCACAGTCCTGGATATCAAGGAATAAACGTTAGCTAAAGTCGCATTGAACTACCTACCAGATCCCCGTTTCTTTTCTCCTTAGTAAAAGATTTACACGATTGTTATAACACCCATCCTCAACTCAGTTCTGCTTTGAAGAATAGTTATACCCAGGTAGATAGCAAGAGAAAGCTTCCTTGAGGCGACATGCATCTCGCAGTTTCATTTCAAATATCTACCAAACGCCTTGCAAAATGCGTCATCAACAGCAACTGCAACCTAACCCAACTTGTCGTGTCAAAAATTCTCGATTGTACTTGTACATATAACAATTCGTCAAAACTCAGAACCGATAACCTCCGTATTGACCTGTAGGTGGTGGTACTCCATAGGCGCCAGCAGGAGGTGGCTGCCATGATGCAGCCGTGGCACCACTAGCTTTCGGTGGTGGAACGTAAGGATTTGCAGCAAACGCATTTCCGCTCTCTGTCCTCAGTGGCGAGTTCCTGTAACCTCCCGATGCTGCGGCCATGCGTCCGTACGGACTGGTTGGCCGGTTGCTAAAATCTCCAGAGGCCTGTCTATTGTGATTCCCAGATGTGATGCGATATTGACCGCCGGTTTTAGCTTTCCAAGAAGCATAGTCCGGTAGCTGGGTGTCGCGAAGCAGTGACACCATGATGTTCGGGTTGAATCGTGGGGCATCGTAAGTGGGTGCTGGCGGTAAAAGGCTTAGGAGAAAAGTCACGTCTCGGGGTAGCGCCGATGTTTGATTACGGCGCTGTTGGTCGAGACGCCGTCCAGCTGCTCCTTTCAAGGGGGAAGCTCCTCTAGCAATTCTCTTTGGTGGGTTGAGGTCCTCGTCCTCAATGCCAAACGGGCGCTTGGGCGAGGCAGTGGCTCGGATGTATTGTGGTCTTGGGCTTTGTTCCTGCCTAGATGGTGGAATACTCTCCCTTATTGAGATAGGCTGTTCAATCGCTGGAATAAGTTGTTTTGGTCGCATCTGCACAGCCTTGGATATAATTATTGGTGCCGCCACAGGATCAAAAGTTTCGGTTGAATATCGTGAGGCGAAATAACTCAGCTTGGGATCCTCTGGAAACAGTTCTGCCATACGAGCTTCTAGCTTCGAGATCTGTGAAAGCTCCCCGTACTGCGATTCATACTTGTGAAAGTAAGAATAGAGTTGTTTGGCCTTTTGCAGAGTTTCTGGCTTAGATACCAAGCGGTTGACGCATGTTTCGAACACAACGCGGGCATCTATACAAATCGATTAGAAAACCAGGATTGAATCTAAAATGAGGGTGGCTCGAAAAGAAAACTCACTTGTGGTGTCATCCTTGGAATGGAGGTACTTCAAGTATTCTATCATGAAGCCAGCATCATTAGGGAAAAGTCGCGCACCACGCTCGAAGATTTTGGCTCCGACGGGATCTTTATAAACCACTGATTCCAACAAGGCCACTGCGACATAGACATCGCTTGTTAGACGGCCCTTTTGTCGCGCGTCGGTGAAAACCTTTCGCAACCCACCCTCAGTTTGATTACCTTTCCCTTGAATACGTCGCATGGCGCGAGCCATGGCGATCCAGACATAAGAAATTGTCTTTGAGAGGAGCTGTGACTCAGCAGCGTAAGCCTGTTGGATGGCAGTAATACGCTCTTCTGTAGGAGACTTTCTAACCTTCTTCTCCTCATCATCGTCGTCATCGTCATCTTCCTCTATAGATTCTTGGACTGCGGGTTCATTTGCTGCAGCCTGTTTGAGGGTGTTAACTTCAAGCTTCTCCCGTTCTTTGACTTTGTCGCCCATTTTGTAGAGGGTATCCAAAACAGCGTCGTAAGGTTTCCGCACTGCCTTGGCATATTCGGACTTGTCTCCTTCTTTCTCTGGATAGTTGGCTTCGATATGGTCAGCGTGTTTAAAGGCAAGCAACACGCTCTCTGGGTTGGCCCTGATGCCTTGCAGCAGCATTTCGGTGCCAAGAACCTTCTCATTTTCTCGAATGTCGGCTTCAAAGCACCAAGCAGCTGCGTTGACCCAAATTTCGGGCCAAAAGCGAAGGGCCATTAAGGCTTGTTTGTAGCAGTACAGAATTCGCTGCTTGTATGCTTTCGGCTCGTCGTCCTTGAGGACCAAAGGATCTTCCAGTTCCCAAGCAATCCACTTCTTCCACATTTCAACTTGGGCATGGAATTCCTCATGGCCATCAAAGCCTTGGGCGGGAGGCAGCCGAGGAAGATTATCTCTCTTTAGGTTTCGTGTGATGTTGTCCAAAGCAATGTTGGCGCTCTTCGCCGACATGTATCCCGGTGATCTCTCTTGGATGAACTTACGACCCTATTCCATCAGGCTAAGTTAGTGACGAAGCGAAAGCTATTGCAGTCGTTGGAACGTACAGTAACCTTGTTCAGGCCCATCTCGAATTGGTCATACTCTTTCCATAGAGTATTCACAGTTGACATAGGAACGGCGATGGCACGGTGATAGGCTTTGCGGAGTTGGTCCATCTTTTGTTGATCCTGCCATCCTGTGCCACCAACCTGACCTGGGCCACTTTTGATGAACTGAACATAGTCTTGCCAAATATTGCCGGAATCACGATCAACTCCAATGGTGTCAATGACAAACTCGTACGACTGAGTGACGGTACGTCGGGCCTGACCGGTTGGGTCATTTGTCAAGTCGTTCCGACGTCGAATGTAATTAAGATATAACGTCCAAAGTTTGACGTTGGGTACAGACATCAGGCATCTTCCAAAGAGTTGTTCCGCGTCGACAAAATTATCAAGGTTGAGTTCCATTTCAATCCACTCAACCCAAATATCAGCCTAAGTATATGACTTCATGTCAGTCGCGAAATTACCTTCTTTATTCAGATGTTATAACTCACCGCTTGGGGAAACACTTCAAGGAAGCGGTTGTACAGTAGGCGGAGTTCGTCAAGCCTACCTCGACGCTTATGATCAGCCATGAGGCTGATCCACGCATCCATATCTCCACGCGGGTCCTCCTGAATGCGCGCCTCCAAAAGTATCACGGGATTCACTCCAGCCAGCCCAAGAGGTGCATTAGGAAGCGTGTCGGGAATGGGGATGGGCGTAGTGCCATTGCTGGCTTGCTTGACATTAGCCGTAGCCAAAATTCGTGCTCCAGATGGGGCATTCCGGCTATCGTCCTCTTCATCATCCGACGCCTCGACCAAGAATCCCCCTGACATCTTAGGCTTGTTGGCTGGTCTCTGCGACGGTGTCCCGGACGCGGACTTGACAGGTAGGTGGGAGACACTGTCAAGACCGACAGACTCGGGATCATATTCGCCTCCATCGTCCTGGTCCTCTTCATTTTCATCAATACGCTCGGCAGCTTCGCTCACAGCTTCCGACGTTTCCTCAGACTGGTCGAGACCTGCGCTCGGCTGCGTGAGCGGATCATATTCCACACCAGAGCCCTCTCCTTCCCAGGCAGCATCTTCTGTGGCCATTTCCATGAGCGCACTTGTATTCTTTGTATTAGAATATGATGGAGAAGTCGCGATATATATGTGGTCGTTGGCGGGGTTTTAGCTCAAACGAGGCAAAGGACGTAGTTTCGTCTCGACGGAATTGCAAGAGGAACAAGCGGTCAGTGTTTTAAAGACACTCGAGTTGCGAGGGGAGGAATAGAATGCACTGTGAAAATGGCTAAGTAACTGATGCTGTGGTGGGATCGTACAATGCCCGCAGGCGACTCGCTGAAATGGAAGCTCAGCCACTCAGCAGGCGATTCCAAAGTAGCTCTCCACGACCGGCGAAGGCGCAAGACGTCGGTAAAAGACGCAGTAATGTTGAAGAAGCAAAATAAAAAAAAACAATGCGATAGCAATACGATGGTGTGCGGCCTGTGCTGGATGTCGGGTGTCGGGTGGCACCAGCAGCAGGATCAGGCTGTGATTGACAGCTCTTTAAGGTGTTGATGTCCTGAGAAAGCTCATCGCAGAGTCGCAGCGGGTTGGGGCAGAAAACAAGAATAGCTAGTCTAAAACGGGCGGGCGGTGAGCCCTTTGTGTCTACCTACCTACCTAACCTAGGTAGGTATTGGATAGTAGACAAGAAGGAACTTTAGCACGTGTGCAGCCACCCCCAGCCTTGCAGCTCATGAACGCTGCCAGGCCCAGGCGGGACGTTCAGTGTTCATCACAGCCTCTTATCAACGGTGGAAATACAATGCCCTGGTGCCTGCTGGGAATAGGCTGCAAGTTGTTTCGTCGCCGGGTATAGTCCCATACATAAGATAATCTCACGCACTTGCCTGCAGGGCCATTTATTAATGGCATGCAAGACATGGCTATACTTCGTATGATCTGGTTTTTCCTACTAGGTAGTAGGTAGTTACCTAGTAGTAGTAGTAGACGATGACCAGGAAGGCGCGACTCGACGATATGGCGCCAGTACGGACCTAGGTACTACTCCGTACCCGCCTAGATGCTTGCAAAAGGGCAGCGACTTGAATCCACGGCCTCTCAACGCGCTGGCGGCCATCAAGCGCGTCCCACCTTCTCGCTGTCACGCACTTAACCTGCCGTTCCCTCATTAAGCCTCCCTCAGCCAAACGACTTTTCTGCTACTCCGTAGACTTCTTTGCCTTCCTCCAGTCCACGCCAGCCTCCTTCTTCTCTATCGACAGGGTTCTGCCTCCCTCCAGCATAAAGCTTGATTCTGCTGCCTTGGCAGCGCGTTCATCTTTGCCACAGCCCAAATAACGTGTCGCCGTCTGCTGGAGTGCTCGATTAATTTGCGCGCCACCCTCCCGCACATCGTCACCGCTGCTCTTACAACCAACTACAAACTTTCCACTCCCCCTGCCTTTTTGCATTCGACTGATTCAACCCGAGTCGCGCGTACTCTACTTCAGCGAAAACCTAACATTTCGTTCTCCGAAACATATATTCCGTCAACATGTCCGTCGTCTCGCTACTAGGTGTCAAGGTGCTGAACAACCCCGCCAAATTCACCGACAAGTACGAGTTTGAGATCACATTCGAGTGTTTGGAGGCGCTCGAGAAAGGTACGAGCTGTGAAACGTACATCCACCTATGCATTCAAAGCCTACAGAATAACTGACTATGCTCTAGACCTTGAATGGAAGCTTACTTACGTCGGTTCTGCTACCTCGTGAGAACCACCTCCCAGCGTCATCATCTTTATACCCGATCGATGGACGGTAACTGACCTGCCATTCTAGCGATCAGTATGACCAAGAACTTGACTCACTACTGGTCGGACCGGTCCCTGTCGGTGTGAATAAGTTCTTGTTTGAGGCCGATGCTCCTAAAACTACGCGAATTCCCGACGCTGATGTTCTTGGAGTTACTGTGATTCTCCTAACCTGCGCTTACGATGGTCGTGAATTCGTCCGAGTAGGCTACTACGTGAATAATGAATATGATTCTGAGGAACTTAACACTGATCTGCCGGCCAAACCCATCATTGAGCGCGTGCGGCGCAACGTGCTTGCTGAGAAGCCCCGTGTCACTCGCTTCGCCATCAAGTGGTATGTCGAGCGACCCTTCTGCTTGCTTGCTTTCAGTTTTTTGTTCATGTTGCTGATGAATCCCAATAGGGACTCTGAGGCTTCGGCCCCTCCTGAATTCCCCCCAGAGCAACCCGAGGCAGACCTTGTTGCAGATGGGGATGAGTACGGTGCCGAGGAGGCCGAGGAAGAGGCTGCTGCCGAAGCCGCCGAAAAGGCTGAACTCCAGCCTGGGGAGGACGCTGAGATGGCTGGAGTTGAACAGGAGAATGGGAACGCCGAAGAGAATGGGCAGGAGGAGGAAGAAATGTCCGAGGATGGCAGTGTTGATATTGAGGGGGAGAGTGAGGACGAACTCGACGAAGAGGAGGAGGCTGAGGCTGAAACCGAAGCTGGTGAGGACGATGCTATGGAGGTGGATGACGCCGAAAAGCAAACCGACGCCCCAGCTGCCAAGCCCGTCACTGTTTCTTCCTAACGGACTTGCGGCTAGGATACGCGATATCGACGCACCCTTTCTGGCCAACCTTTTTAAAAGGATTATTATGCCATCTTGCTTATCGGTCTTGTTGGATGCTACTTTAGCGTGGATGAGCGCGGTTGCGGATCAAGCAAGGTTGGTTAGTAGATGAATGAACTAAAGAGCTATGATGGTTACGAAACAGGTAAATATCCAGGGAGGTAATAGGGATGCGGTGGTTGATTACATAAGAGTCCGTATATCATTTCTCGGGGCATAGAAAAGCATGGTCGATTATACAGTCAATTTACACTATTTGTCACAATGAAAGGCGGTCCGAGAGTATTCATTTTATGCCTGGGTTTGACTAGCTGATGTGCTGGTGATGTCATGCCCTGTTGATTCAATCTGATGCGATCTTTTCTAGCCCCGTTGACTTTCTTCATATACCCATCATCGACGTGACATTCATTATCATTAATCATCAAGTTTGAGCTGTCGAATCATGTTTTAGGGAAATAAAAAGGAAAGAAAAGCGCGGGCCAACTCTTCTCAAGAAGCACTTCACACCAATGAAATTCTCCTTTATACCTTGCCCAGTTCCCCTTCTCCATTATATCTCTTCTGCCACGGCCACTTCCACCGACTACTCACGGGCAGCTGCTCATTCACCACTCTCATCCTGGGCCTTCTCTTACGGCCCTTTGCCAAGTACACGGACCGAACATCGGGCGCGTCCTGTTGGAGGGCCCCTGTAAACATTCTGTAAGGAAACGTGACCGCGCGAAGGATGAATCTGTACAGATCTCCCACGACGACGGTGAATATGCGTGTTTGCAGGAGGAATATCAGCGCCATGAAGGGGATGCACACGAGGACCATGGTGATAGCGAAGCGCCAGTCAGTTGCGGGAATTGTGAATTCCGTGATGCCAAAAACGGACTATTTCGACAAATGTTGGTTTCGCCATCCCTGCTTTTTTTTCGCCTCTTTTTTTTTTTTTTGTAAATGCCTCGTCTTGGAATAAAGGGGTCCACTTGCAGTCACAAAGGTCAACGGCAGGAAAATCATGCTAATCATGGTCAGGATGCGGATATTGTCGCCCTGGTCAATGGCCCTCCTGCTCTCCTTGATGGAACTCCCGCTGAACAGCTGGTCCCTCAGGTTCTCAACCTCCTTTCTGGTGCGCTCGTTGCGCTTGAGCACCTCGCCCAGCTCCGCGACAACCTTTTCCAGCTCGCGTCGCAGGAGGGCCATCTTTCCGAGGTACGCCTCGCCCTGGGGCGACGAGGGCGAGGGATGGGGCCAGAGGACCGGGTGGTTCCCGGACCAGAAGTCGTCGGTGAAGATGTCCAGGTAGGCGGCCACCATGGCCTTGATGCCCGTGTTGATGACGGCGAGGGTGTTGTAGGCCCAGAAGTAGCGCCGGATGTAGGTGAAGTGCTTGTCTTCGAAGAGGAGCTTGTCGCGGAGGCGGCGGTCGAACATGAATTCGGTCTGCGGGCGATTAGGACAAGATACATTGAGTAGAAGGGGGGACCAAGACTGACAGGGGGCGTAATGAGTTTTGTGATTTTCTCGTGGAGAATCTGATTTCGTCTCCCCGCGTCGCGATACTCGGCAATTAGGAGGTCGAGAAACGCACAAGGGCCGCTGTAAAAGCTCTTTTCCTGAAAGTCCTCCCCGCGGACGGTGTGCTGGTCGTCGGGGAAGCTCTGGATGCTCAACACCTGCCACGGGCCAAAGGTGTCGAAGAGGAGTCCCTCCCGGGCCCTTTCCCGGCGAGGCCTCATGCGCAACGGCTTCGTGGGCTCGCCGCCGAGCGAGAGGGCGAGCACGGAGCTGCACTCGGCAATGTCGATGTGGTCGCCGAGCCGCTTGTCAGAGGGCCGTTTGAAAAGTGAGGCTGTCGTGGCGTCAAAAGTGGGAGACGAAACCGCGTTTGGAGAACAAGGCGAACCCGTCTCCGTTGGAAGATCGAAGCCTTGAGGAACGACACTTGAGGGAATTGCCTGCTCTACCTGGTCCTAGAAGCGAAATCGGCGTCGCCTCACTTTGACCAGCCACATGCATACACACAAATTCACCCGGCCCTCGTTCATGTAATCACACAACAAGATACATATTATTACTCATTTATCAATACCAATTCATCCAAATGGTCAATCCTCCCGACTTGGTCCAAAAGCCCCCATCAAATATCAAATAAGCCACCAGAGCCGTCGGTCAAACAGTTCCAACGAAAAACAACAACCAGAGTGTCCTCGGACCAGCCGAAGCAGAATATCGAATATCCTCCCCAAGTTATTACCCAGTATTTGAGTGTGCAAATGGAGCGCTATATATCTCGCTGCAATACGAAAAAAAAAGAAACAGCAATACTGATATCGGCCGTCGAACAACAAGCAAAACAGAAAAGAGAACTAAGGGGAGCAAAAGACACTAAAAAAGGGGGTCTCCTCCCAACTGGCTGCACGAATGTATTAATGAAGGAAAAGAAACGAAACTTCCATGGTATCAGTGCTTTCCCAAACGCCAAACAGCCCTTTTCGATATAGTCGTTGTACATTGGTGAAATATACGAGGCTCGGCGTAACCTTACCACCCCTTCTTTCGAGCAAATCGCTTGTTGAGCAGGGCAAGCACCTTGGGTACGTTGAACTGCACGTACTCCAGATCGAGCTCATCCTGGTTATCCTTTTGCATCTCAAGCAAATCGTCCAGCTTGAGGTCGAGCTCCAAAAGACCCCGGTTGCGACCTACGCAAGGCGATGTTAGCACATTGGATCTTCCTCGGAGTTTGATATCACCTATGCCTTACCTTTATAGTGGAGCGAAATAACAAATGTACCTGGCAAAGGGCTGGTGAAGTTGAAGTAGATGTTGGCCCGTCTGTTATCCGGAACATTACTCTTCTGAATTACTCCCTCCCTCTCAAGCTGCTGATGCGTGAACTTGTAGGGCCCCAACACCTGCTGCTTCTGTTGCTTCCGCTTTGTGCCCTCGCTCTGAGAACGCACATTGTGCAAATAGCTCTTATATGTCTCCAGTTGCCCCACCAAATATGTGTTGTGGTCACGAATCGTCTTGTATACCTCTTCTAGCTTCGCCGACTCAGCAATGACGCCTTCCTTGAGTGAACCGAGATGCTGCAATTCCTGCTCGACTTCGTCTCGCAATAGGTCGAATTGGTCGCTCTTGTCGATAACGCCCAGTTCCTGTAGCTGCGAAAGGAGCTCCATGGCTCTAATGCCTTTGCGAACCATGACAGCATCATTACGGCTTGTTGCTGCAGCATCAGCCACCCGCTCCAAACGCAATGGCCGTCGCAACACGGCGCTGCTTTGTGGAATGGTCCGCAGGATCTGCACAAAGATGGACTTGGCCTCCATAAAGAACACTTCCTCCTGTGTGATGTCGAGCGCTGCGGTTAGATCGTCGATTGCAGTTTCCCATCTGCTGAATAGTGGCAAATTGATCACTCTGTTCTCCTTGCGCGGTACTTGAGCTGGAGATGGGCCGAGTTCCGACATGATGACAGCCAGGTGCGAATTTTCATCCTTGCAGAGCTCTTGATAGTGCTTGTCGATAAGTCCGTGCATGGCGTAAATTTCATTCAATGTAATATCCAACTCAAGATCCTTCTTTGACAGCGCAACGTAGTTGTCCATTTCCAAACTCTCGTAAAAGTCACTGACTTCGCAAAGATCCAACATGAACTTGTTAATTCTGTCCTTATTCTGCTGGATGAATGGTTGGAGTTTTGCCATGTAGGGTTCCTTGGCGTACGAAGGCTTGTTCGCAAGATTTTGAAGCATCTTTGCAATTAATGTCAGGGTTCGTCTGGGCCGTTCAGCGGGAGTTCCGTCAATAAGCATGTACGATTTGGGGGTGACAATGGCTGGGTTGATGAACCTAAGGAAGAAGAAACCGCCAATCAAAGTGCAGATGACCTGGTCGTTTGCATCAGGATATTTGCGCTTTGTCAAGCTTCTGATTTGCTTGCAAATCCACCGAATACCGTAAGGAGCCTCTTCCAGGCCCTCGATAATGGTACTCAAAAATCCATTGGCAATTTCTGTTAGCATAGTGAGTCGGGGCTCGATGATGGCCTGGACTTTGGAATTTTCGGCAGCCTGTTCACCAGTGATGCCCTTTGGCAGATTTGCAGGCAGGGTGCCAGTATCCTCTTCAATCTGTTCCAGCATGCGCTCGTAAACCTTCAAGGGGTTAATCTCCAGATCCAGATCTTTCAATTCAATGAGGCTGTTGATCCTGTCGGCTAACACAGTCTTGAGAAAACTCTGACCAGGACCACGACGTGTATATGTTGTCATCATACGGGACACGGGCGTGTTGGCTCGAAGCAACGAGGAATAATCCGGAGTGTTATCGAATTGGTAGGTCAGAACAGACTGATAATAAAGGTTAGCCTAGCCAGCTCCTTGACTACATTTGAGGGCCAAGATTCAAAAATACTGACCTGAAACATGGTTAGCAGCAAATGCTCTTCGCGACTTTCGTACTGGTTTCCGTAAATCGTGAACATGACTGTCTGTAGCAGGGAGTCTATTTCGGCCATTGAAACCAGTCGGCAAAGATGCGCGATATGCCTGGGCTCAGATTGCAAGAGAAACAAGAGATTGCCATATTTCTGCGTCTTGTCATCATTTGGGAAAACACCTTCCTGAACCTCGGTAGCATCCTCGAGGTGGCTAGCGACTTCATTTTGCTGGAGAAGGCCAAATCAGTACATTCGAACTAGACAACAAGGAACGGAAGGTATCCGGCGATAGGAAGCCCTCACCTCTTCAAGAGCCATTCGGTTCTGGATGAGAAGAGCGATTCTTGAATCCAGATACCGTACATCCTTTTCAAGAACAAAATTCTTTTTAGACTGAGAGGAGATCTTTGTTTTCAAATCTCGCAGTACTTTCTGGGCTGCAAGACAGAAAGTCAGCATGAGGCCTCATAGTGGCGGCAACACAAATCTACCTTTGGCTAAATCATCTTCGATTTGCATTTCACCCTCGTTTGCTGACATGGACAGGTACAGCGCTGACATGGAGTACCGCTTGGACTGGCGCGCCGAGCGCGATCCATCGTAGGACGACATGGTGTTTTGGCGCGACAAGGGTTGAAACGACGACGACGAAGCAGTTGAGGCTCGCGATGGAGTTTGAAGCATGGTGGGCATGATGAGCGGAGCGGGGCAGTTGCAGCTCGCTGACAAGATCCAAGAACAACGGGATGAGCCTCTCTTCTCCTCAGAAATGTCGCGTTAGGCGGGAGCGCGCGGGTACCAGACCAGGCCCCTGGGTATGTTTTAAGTCGTGCGCTCTAGGCGTTCGCAAAGTGACCCGAATGAGACTATGTGGAACACAGCAGAGTCGAGTACGCTAAAAACAGTCGGCTTTGATAAGAGGTCATTTATTGTATGGGACAGGTACGGGTCTGGCAGGTGGAAGCGCTACTAGGACGCCAAATCGTAGCCTCGTTCAATCAAGGTATAATAAAGTGAACGTCGCAGGTAGTATCGGCTTGGGGAGGAAGCAGAGGAGCTGCAAGATGCACAAGACGCAAAGGCAGGCGACGACGGGTGCGGATGACGGATGACGGATAATGGTGGTACGTTGCACAACCCAAGAGACGAACCAATTATTGGGGGCTAATCGGTATTGAGCTGCAAGTATCTGCCGGCTGTGGGCGAAGCAGGGCCTGGGCGACTGCAAGTAATGTAGCAAGAATGCAATGCAGTCGTCTTTGCAGGTTTTCTCAGTCGCGAGGATGCGGTCAACAAGCCGTGTCCACAAAGCATGCGGCTGGTTGGGTGATCAGAGTTCGAGGCGCGGGATATCAATTCTGAGACTCGGGATACTTGGATGCTGTTGCTGTCGGCGAGGCGATCGGCTAGAGAGGTCAAGGCGTGGCTATCAGATAATCGGCGCCCCTATTTGAGAGCCGCGGGTTTGCTACCCGTCGAAGGGACCGTTGGAATAGCGCAGCGTCGAACACGATGCACTTGCGGCGAGGCTTTCCGCGCAAAGCAGAGGCGGTGGTGATGTGTTTGAGAAGAGAAAAGGACAGTCCCCAGTGCACCGGACGAGGGGCGTGTTGAAGAGATGGCGGAGACTGGAACTAGGATTAGGCACCTTCACCTTGGACGAGGGGGGACGAGAACAGAGGGGGCCCAGACTTGACTTGCCATGCCAAACATGCTTGACCAAGCATGCACTCAACTCGTCGACTTACGAGGACGCCAGATATGAGTGAGCAAGGGCCGGTGGCCACTGGAATTGGCCAAGTCGGGGCAAGTCAGGACCAGCCAGGGACAGGACGGACAAGTGGGACAGGGGCACAGCCAAATGCTCACGTGTTGAGTGCAAAGAGAGGGTGGGAAGGACCGTCCGTGGGTCCTGACGTCTGATCTCTGGGATGTGATGGGTACGGAGTAGCTGAGCCTCCGTATTCCAACTTGGCAATTGCAAAACACCAACACTCTTCCAGAAACATTACAATGCAGTTTTTACCACACCACGGCCAGGCCTTCTGAAAAGGCACCGAGTCTCGGAGACCTAGGTGCTAGGTAGCTACAGTAGTAGTAGCCAGGGCGTCCCCCGTGTCTGGACTCACTAGTAATGTGCTTTCCTTTTTTTCTAATTCTTTAATTAACAGTCAAGATGCTTCGCGTCAATAGTCCGGGCCGGGATCCCGAGAACCTCCCCGCCGTCCTCCGCATCCTCAGTTCTGCTCAGTGTTCTCAGGTTTGCACTCGCGCGAGTACTTACTCGATTGTAGACCGAGGGGTGTGACGCTTGGCCCCACGGCGAGTTTCTCACCCTTAAACCCGAGGGGTGATCCGACGCACTGATTCGAAAGCCACCGCTTTTATGACGTCCATCCCATCTTCCTTTCGGGGATTTTTCGTCGTGCCAGAGGGCGTTTGATTACTCCGTACGTTGCCTGCTTTTCAAACCAAACCACAGCCACAGCCTCAGCCTGTCGCATCTTGGTGTTGGGTGTCAAGTGTCAAATTACGGAGTCCCTAGCCACCTTGCCAGGTACCTACTACGGTAGCTGCACGGAGTGCTATTACCAAAGGGGGTCTCACACAAGGTGCCCAGAGCCAAGGATGGCCCAGTCGCTCCTGCCTCGCCTCCTGCGTTTAATAGTCCATACTGATCAAAAGGGTATTCAATTTTCGTCCTGATCATTCATTATCTCCCGGCATCATCACGCAGCCAATCATTGGCGTTCATTATATTGACTGACTTGTGCATTGACTATCATTTGTCTCGGCTGTCGAGAATGTGACCTCTCTAACTCTCCTGTTCTGGACCAGGAGCGGCTCAGGCACGAGGCACGGCTTTGGAATTCACATCGGTCCCCTGGCCGCTCAAGCGCTCTTCCGACGTCCGACCACCCCAGAAACCCGGGAAAGGGGGGGTGCCCATGCAACCAGCTAGACACGGCCGCAGCCCTCCATTTTCCAGATCCACCAATTTATCGTACAGTAACGAGCGCAGCAGGATTTCACCCGTCGAAACCCTTTGCCTCAGCAGACGACCGCAGGAGGCGCATGGTGTTGTGGACTCACCCGTTTTCCGCGCCCAAGTATCTCTCAAAGTGGACGCCATCGCGGCTTGCCACAAGGATTAGAGCCGGTTAGGTGTTTCCTTACGTTTTTATCGAGCTTTCACAGACTACTGCACTCAACCTCAACAATAGACTTCCAAGTCATGTCTGTTCAGTTCGTGTCAGAACCGATTCAGCCTGCACCAATCGGCAAAATCCCTCTAATGAAAGGGCATGAGGAGTTGCGGATGTCACGTGTACCAAACCCAACAGACCCGTCTCGACTGCCAAGTTCACGCAATTACGTGGGAGTCTGGTGCAGAGGCTGCACGGAGTAAGGAGCAGCAAATGCGTGGAAATGTTAATACATACCAACTTTGCGTCCAAGTTGAACCAAGACAATCAACAGTTATGGCTTCCCGCAGTTTTGTCACACACACATACATACATGCAGTATGACAGTGTATCATTGATACATTGTGTAACAGACACATATCCTGTATAGTTTGATTCTTTGTGCCTCCTTCTGGATGCTCGTTGATGGTGGGCCGTCTAGTCAATTCAAGCATTAATAACCTGGGGGCATGTTCCCAAGTGGATATTCTTCTTGTCAACACGCAGCCACATCGTCCACCGAGTATGCATGACATGCAGGAAACACTCTGTCGAGACTGTGTCGAGACTGTGCAACAGGGCCGAGCGTTACTTCTATCTTGCCTGATACAGACTCTCTGGCCCATATTGTACGACAGACTTCATGATTATTGCCACTGTAGGGCCGCCAGTCGATTCAGGCCAGTGCTGCCCTGGCCCTTGATTGCTCTATATGCGGTGCGGACAGATAAGTGCGCAATTGTAATTGACACACATACGACGGTACCGCTCCGTTCATGCCGGGGCGATAAACCGCAAAACACCAGAGCGGTCTCCACGTCATCCATGATAACGGAGATCTCACAACAATTTGTACGTAGGTGGCTGTCTCACTTTTCCAACTGGAATTCCTCGTACCCCTGTTCTGATCTCGGCACATTGTAATGTCGCGACAACTAAAAATAAGCTGGTCTGATATTTACATATTAGTACATGTAATAAATGATACTCGGTGAGGCGTTTAATGCATCAAATGCATCAACCCCGCAATCTCCTGCTCACAGAGGTGGTTTGCTGAGCCCTCGCCGGCACGTACATATTGCGCCTGCAAATAATCTAGGAGAAGAGGTCCCATCTTGATGCAGGAGCATGACGCTGCCTGCTTTAGTCGTGTTGAGGTCATTCATATCCCTTTCAACTGTGTTCAAAGGCCGATGGATAAAGTTCCGCATAACATTGGGCAGTCGTGCAGGATTCATGCTGACGACAAGTTTTGTCCACGGCATGCAAGAACAAGAATAATCTCATGCTGTGCCACAAACGCATGCTGTAAACTTCGAATCAGGAATCAATGCCAAGTATTTTTGGCATACAATACGCAAAAGAGCACAATCAATTGGTAGACGTCAAGATGATGTCAAGGCTACGGAATACTGGTACTCCGTCCTACATCCATGCAATTTCCGGATCGTCGTTGAGCTTTATTCAGGCCCACGGCGATGGTCATTCAACGTGCTCCATGTTGTCGTCGTGCAGACTATATACTCCGTATGACGGGCAATTTGAGATTTGACTGTCTGTCGTGCCTTTTTGATCGAATCAAATCTCAGTGCCAGGTGCCAAGCCATGAGAAACTAGCAACCGGCAACCGGAAGTAGCATGATCTTGGCCAAGTCCAACAGGTAACTTTTGAGTGCTATATGTGTTACAATACTGATACGTCTATCCCTTAGGGTTTGTTGAATATGCTCAAAGGCTATTGTTGTTCTAGTAGTCAGAAGTATGGAACTGCGAAAGCACCTAAGGTCGTAGGTTAGAAAACGATAACAGTAAGAACAGCAAAACTCTTGCTTGGGCACTGAAGAAAGTACATAATGTCACATCTACTCCAAAGACTGTGCGCGTTACTACGTACGTCTTCCGACACAACGTAGAAGGCATATCTCGACTAGCCATCAATGTTGAGTATGTCAAACGAAATCCTATCCGTTTGGCTGACGCTGAAGAAAAAAAAGAAAAAAACTGACGCTCAGGTGTATTAGATGGCCGCTGAAGATGTTAAAGTCATGACTTACCCAGCGGCAGCGAGTAAGCCGTTAAGCAATATCGCATCTCATACCACCAACGACGACCACATCATGCAACCGGACTCCTCATCGCATTGATCATCTCTTTGGATCTCGCCAGCCTCGATACGCTTCCCGAAATCACAAGGCCTAACCGGACTGTCGGTGACGCCGGTGGAACGCAGGCGACCCGGTATCACGGATAAAAGATCCTGAATTTGTGCAGAGTCCAAGTGACAGGGTTTTAGAGCCACATCTTTTACTTCACTTCTTTTCCTTTCTTTTTGGCTGTTTTCCTAGTTTCCACGTATCTGAGACTGTAGGTTTCATAAGGGAAAGTGTAGATATCTACAGATGGGTGTAACAAAGTCAATTCAATTCGAGTATATCTAAGAGAGAAGCTAGCTAGCTACGTGTGCGAGGCATCGTGGCCTTTATACATGGTGTTGTTGCCGCGGTGACCGCTTTTGCGGGTCATCACGTGTGTGGCCCGATGCATCGGATCGGGTTAACCTTGTCCCAGCCAATCAGGGCAATTGGTGCGCGGGCGCGTTCGGCCGGGCCGGACAACACCACGTCCTAGGGTGGTGATTATCACAACAGAGACACTGGAGTCAAAAAAGACTGGCGCGTGGATCGCAACAGACTAGGATGTGAACTTGTGAAGGGGGTGAACCTAATGAGCGGGTTCCCTTGCGACTTGAAACTTTGCATCCAAGTGAGCTCTAGGGCCGCCGAGGCTTGAACGGAGAGCTTGGGCTTTGTCAGTCGTTGAGGAGCGTCCTTTGTGACGTACAGGCAGAGTTGCCTGCTTTTGACTGGACGGAACAGCGGGGAGATTGACCAAGTGTCCAGGTATCTATTTATATGTCATATTAGTCTAGTCGATTCTAGGATCGGGGTTCAAGTCCAACTACTGCTTACCTAAGTACTTTGCAACGAGGTCATATCTGCAGATAGAATTCGGTTTGTCATGACGGACGACAGAACCGTGGCTGGCGGGGTACTGGCGCAGTGCACGCAGGTGCTGTGTAGGTGCTTGCTGCGTGTGGGGCGAATTGAGCTCGAGCTCCATCAAATCGATGCCTTTTTGTCCGACTTCAGAGCCAAGCTCCAGCTCCTAGCTCTGGACCTCATCCATCAGCAGCTCCAGCACCGTCAGGACCAGCCTCGTACAGCGCATCAATTGAACTCTGCTATTCCGCCTGAAATACCCCGGTCATCAGAAAACAAAGACATCATGGCTTTCCGAGCCTCTGTCCGCCGCGTGGCCCTCGCCCGCCCCTCGCCCGCCATCCGCAGCTTCCACACCACGCCCCGCGCCTTTGTCAAGGTCGGCGATGAACTGCCCGACTTTGATGGTCTCTTTGAGAACTCCCCCGGCAACAAGGTCAACCTGTCTGAAGAGTTCAAGTCGTCTAACGGGTACATTGTTGGCGTTCCTGGGGCCTTTACTGGTACCTGTTCGAGCTTACATATTCCTTCGTATATCAACCACCCGAGGTTGAAGGAGGCAGGTCAGGTGTTTGTTGTTTCTGTCAACGACCCGTTTGTGTAAGAATTCTGTAGTTTTTTTTTTTTTTTTAATATACGTCTTTCATTCTCTTGGGAAAACTAAGCTAATTGGGCTGGACACCAGTATGAAGGCTTGGGCCGAGCAGCTTGATCCTGCCGGGGAGACTGGCGTAAGTTTACAGCCGACGACTTTGCACCGCAACACCGTTTTTGGGTAGCTGACTGGTTGTAGATTCGCTTCATTGCCGATCCATCGGCGGGATTCACAACGGCGCTGGACATTGGGTTTGATGGCTCCGCTATCTTTGGAGGCGTGCGTAGCAAGCGGTACGCCTTGAAGATTGAGAATGGCAAGGTCTCCAAGACATTCATTGAACCTGACGGCACTGGTGCTGACGGTATGTATTATCTGACTCGAGGCTATGAGGGTGCTGTGGTGCTGTGGTACGCGGTGCTGACTTTCTTGCAGTTTCTATGGCAGAAAAGGTTCTTGACTAGACTTGGTGTGTTTGTAGAGAGGCAGACGGAGGGATTTGATCTCTGGACACGTTGGATAGAATTGTTTATTGTTTGTTGCGGTCGGCAGTCGCGTTTGACTGGGGTTTTACTGAAACAGGCTGGTATAACACGATAACACGACGTTCGTAGGTAGTCTTGGCTGTTTGTGGGTCATAGACTTACTGCTTAGTGCAAACAAAACCAAGAGTGACTTGCATTGCGTTGTTTTTTCCTTGCTTCTTTGCATTTGTTTTTTTCTTCTTCTTCTTCTTCTTCTTCTTCTTCTTCTTCTTCTTCTTCTTCTTCTTCTTCTTCTTCTTCTTCTTCTTCTTCTTCTTCTTCTTCTTCTTCTTCTTCTTCTTCTTCTTCTTCTTCTTCTTCTTCTTCTTCTTCTTCTTCTTCTTCTTCTTCTTCTTCTTCTTCTTCTTCTCTTTCTTTTATTCCTTTTTATTTATTTAAATTTGTTTTGAACGGTAGATTTATTCGTTTAATTGGCATTAATGTGAGCAGTGCTTTCGGTCGACCTCTGTGACTGCTCTTCAACCCTCAGGGGTTGTTGTGTTCAGGGTAATTCAATATGTGCATGTGGGTGGTTCGTGCATGCATAGACAATTAGCCCGGGTTGGAATCTGCAGCTTACCAAGTACGTGAGTCAGCTGGCCCCGAGATTCACCCGCCATTGTGTGACCTCTGACCACATGCACCACTGACCAGTGATTAGTGACCACCCACTAGCGCCTACGACAGGCATCCATGTCCCGAAAGTCTTAGGAAGTCTCAACTCGCCGCCGTCATGGGTTAGGCCTCTGTTAATCAGATCTCCATCAAACTCTACCATCTCCTTCTTCCCCGCTGTTCTGGTACCCTTCTATCCGACTTCACCGACGCACGCAGCAGGCAGCCTACGCCAATATTCAATCCTCTATTTGTCTCCGGCGGGACTTATACTGTTGCTGGAGACCCAAATCCGCAACTCCGTCTGCACGCCACATCGTCCTTAGCATTGACCCTTGCCGTCGCTCATCCATCCCGGCGATAGGCCCTGCGTTGCTGCATAGAACCGTCGTGCTGCGTCTCTGCTCGTCAACAACTCTCGTTTTCGACGAGCCTTTGCCTCCTCGTTTACATATCGAACCGCCACGATTCCTCCCACAACGAGGAAGCGAAAGGCTGCTGAGGCGACGACTCCTTCTCAAGACCGAGACAGAGACGCACCTACTCAAAAGAGACTCGCCGCCTCAGCAGCCTCCCCTCCAGAAGCCCCGCCATCACCAGTCACCACCACCAGCGCCGGCATGGATTCGGAAGAGGAATACGTGTCAGGCATGTCTACTGACGCCGAGGGCATGCAAGAATACAGCGGAGATGAGATGTCTGCTGCCGATGGTACGTTTATCATCCGCCTCCCTTGTCGTTTAACCACCAGTACTGGTCTTCCGCATCGTTTTTTTCTTTCTTTCTTTTTTGGCATTTATCTAGCATGCAATGAGCAAAAAGTCTGACAAAAGTTTCCGCTCTCCAGATTTTGAAGATGATTTCGACGAACCCGATCCCGACTTTGGAATAAACTCCAAGGACATCAGCAAGACGAAACAGCCGGCTCATGTCGTTTCGTTCAAAGTCCACCAACCTTCTGACATTCAACATCAACAAGATGATATGATTAATGAGGTGAATATGATTTTGGACATGCGCAAAGAAGATGCTGCCATTATGCTGCGATATTTCCGATGGAATAAAGAGCGTTTACTTGAAGATTACATGGACCGACCCGAGAAGGTCCTCGAAGCTGCGGGCTTAAGTAGCAATACAGCTGCCTTGCCAAAGCTGGAGGCGGTTCCTGACTTCATGTGTGACATTTGCTGTGAAGACGAAGATGGTCTACAGACTTTTGCAATGAAGTGTGGACATAGGTACTGCGTTGATTGTTACCGACAATACCTGACCCAGAAGATCAAGGGTGAAGGTGAGGCTGCTCGAATTCAGTGTCCCGCCGAAGGCTGTGGTCGCATTCTCGACTCTCGATCGCTGGACTTGCTCGTCACGCCTGAGTTGACCGGTCGGTATCGTGAGTTACTAAACCGGACCTACGTCGAGGATAAGGACATTTTCAAGTGGTGCCCAGCTCCCGACTGTCCGAATGTTGTCGAGTGTGGCATCAAGAAGAAGGATTTGGACAAGATCGTCCCCTCCGTGGAGTGCCTGTGCGGGTACAGATTCTGCTTTGGCTGTCCAAACCCCGATCACCAACCCGCACCTTGCGAGCTTGTCAAGAAGTGGTTGAAAAAATGTGCCGATGACTCGGAAACCGCAAATTGGATTTCGGCAAACACAAAGGAGTGTCCCAAATGCAGTTCAACGATTGAAAAGAACGGCGGATGCAACCACATGACATGTAGGAAATGCAAATATGAGTTCTGCTGGATGTGCATGGGCCTGTGGTCAGAGCATGGCACCAGCTGGTACAATTGCAACCGATACGAAGAGAAAAGCGGCTCTGAAGCGCGAGATGCGCAGGCCAAGTCAAGGACATCGTTGGAACGCTACTTGCACTACTACAACCGTTATGCCAACCATGAACAGTCTGCAAGGCTGGACAAGGACATTGCGCAAAAGACGGAGAAGAAAATGGTACAGCTGCAAACTACGTCGGGCATGTCGTGGATTGAAGTACAGTACCTTAACTCTGCTTCGCAAGCTCTCCAGACCTGCCGACAGACGCTCAAGTGGACGTATGCCTTTGCATTCTACCTGGCCAGAAACAATCTGACGGAAATCTTTGAGGACAACCAGAAGGACTTGGAAATGGCTGTGGAGAACTTGTCCGAGATGTTTGAGAAGCCAATCGCGGAGCTATCTGATTCCAAGCTCAAGGTCGACATTATGGACAAGACATCATACTGCAACAAGCGTCGCGTCATTTTACTCGAGGACACTGCCGAGAACCTCGCAAAATGTAAGCCCTCCTCGCATTTTCGCAAATACACCTATCAAATATAAACTCACACAACAAACGTCATGTAGCAAAATGGACCTTCAACGCGGACCTCACCGCTCCCTCAGTCGCATCTGCTCGCCGCTAAGGAGACCAGGAAACAAATTTGGCAGGGAACGATGCACTGGGCCCTCGCGCGACCGCGACCGCGACCGCGACCGCGTAAACTACGAAATATAATCATAGATTGCTTTGTTTCTTACTAACGACATCATGACTAGGAAGAACGCTGCATGCAAGCGAGGGGGAGTGGCATACATAAGCTACACTACACTGCTTTACACTACAGCACTTTAAGGGCCTCGGGTTTTATGTTATTTTATTTTATTTATTGATTTGTTTTTTGACCTATGCTAGTCTTGGCATGGAACAGGCGTTGTTGGGATTTTTGTATTTTTTTTTACCCTCTAGTGTTGGGGTCATTTTCGTCCCCCCCCCCCAAAAGACATGTCAGGACATTCATACGCAAACGGGGCGTGTCTGAAAGGATGGACGAAGAGGATTTTAAGCATCTATAGGCGTGTTGGGCGCACGTGGTAGATACATACACGTACCTTTACTACTTTGATTCTGATGATTTTGAATTGCTGACAGGGCATGTGGAAACCAGATTCGAATCGGGTTCGTCGTGACGGGGACCTAAATTCGGACTTTGCCAGCTAGCCATCAATGGCTCGCATATGCCTAGAGGACTTATTGCAATCATCGCTGGTCGATACAAGGGGAACAAAGGAGCACAATATCCGTCACATGTAAACAATTCTGGCAATGACATAAACCTGAATCTCCTCGCCTCTACCGACTCATTATGACTAGTCCACAATTCTGTTATAACTCCTCTCATGCCAGGTATTTGTACTCAGTCCATACGCCTTCCTTATCACACTCAAGACAACCAATGTCGCACTGGCAACGCCAAAACGCCAACATGTACTTCCGACAAGTTACCTCCGTTCCTTCCCTTGTCAACACAAACACAAAACAACAACGCCTGAAAATGCTCATACACGCTGAATATATACATATGAACAGAAAAAAAAAGCATTTACCCGCCAGAGTTGAAAAAGAACTGTCTGTCGATACTGGTATCAGGAGAATGCAAATCGAGACAGATGCAAAATCCTTGGGCGCGGTTCAACCTCATCTTCGTTCTCCCCGTCGCTATCGGGGACGATTTGATCCTCGCTTCCACATGATTTGTTCAAGGCTTCAACCTCTATGACATCCACCTTGGGCAAGGGGACAAATGACGGGTTGACAGGCAAACCCTTAACACTGTCCTTGACCAGGTTGGCCTTGGGTTTGACTGGCTCAGGGGACACCACCAAGTTGGTAGCTTGGGCGCCAAGCCTCTGCAAAGGAGTAAGCCGAGACCTAGTAGTCGACGGAGCGGTCGATGGAGTAGATGCCATGCTGAAAACTGACGATTGATATGACATGGACGATGATGGTGTAGACGAAGGTCTGGATGAAAATGAGAAACGACTGAAATTCGGCGCCCGAGATGGAGTCTTGAGCGGTTGTGCCTTTGACTTGGTGGACTTGGGCGGAGGCATCATATTGTTTGCAGGGCCCTCCAAGTCATCCTGGGTCTCTGACGGAACGGTGACCTCCGTGTCCTGACTAGCGTTTTGGCTGTCATCCAGAGAGACTTGGCTTTCATCGGGGCAGGAAACCTGGGAATCGTCATTAAAGATAGCAATTGGCTTTACCTGTTTGTTAGATGGTTTCCATCCCTCAAAATCAGGCAGATCCCTGAGGGTTTCTTCAATGGAGTCATCCGAAAAAAGATATGCATCGCTCTTCGCCCTAACTGGACTCCTCTTGGCTTTAGGAAGAGGAAAGAACTTGCTCTTCTTAGGCGAGCCGTCCTCCTCGTCCTGCTCGTCACATAGACGTGCCTTCTTGACTGGTCTGACCTGAGGCTCCGACACTGGTGCTCCCAAAGGAGAAGCGAGACAAAGGTCACTAGTTGTTGCCGTGGCTGGGCTGCTGGCGACCCGGGCAAGCATGTTGAAAATGGGCTCTGTCCGCCGTCGTTGAATCCTAGGAGAAGTTCGAGTTGGAGCCGAGCTCGTTCGCCTCGGATTTGATGTGGCGCGTCCGGTAATTTCGCTTTGGTTATCAACATATGGTCGAGGCAAGGGAAACACCCGTGGGACCATCCCTCCTTCGGTAATTTGCGCAACTCGTTGAGGGTCGACAGAGAAGCAATTGGGATCCATCTCGCCCATGGGTATGCGACTATGTCCTTTGAAGTATGATGTTATTGGCTTTCTCGGCGGCTGGGCTTGGGTCGCCGTTTGGGAGTGTCTCCTCTTAGAAGGTGTTGTCGCGATGACGATGGGTGCCTTTGTGATGGGGTCGACGTCACCCTTTGCAATGGCCCTTGCAAGTTCGGGCTCAACATAGGCACCAATAAATGGCATTTCCTCGGCTGTGCGAGTACCGTCCAATTCTGTCAGATGAACAAGCTCCCTCTTCTTAGGACAAAACACCCATTGATGCAGAAATGTTAGTTCTGCTTGATAGAACTGGGTCAGATAGTTTTCTGATATGCGCTTTCCATTGAACTGCAGCAAGCGGACAACTCTTTCGGGCGACTTTGACTTTCGTAGCATGCGATAGGCAGTCTTTAGGCCGACGCCTGGCAGACCGTCGAGGTAATCACAACCGCTCATGATGGCCATTCGTCTGAAGTCGGCGTCAGTCCAGCCGGTGAGAGATACCTCGCGGCAAGCACAGAAATCGCGTCGGTTGATCTCAATGCAGTTGCCATACTGATCCAGTTTCGTCAAAAGACGTTTGGCACCAAAGACGAGCAGGTCTGAATCGTCTGAAATAATACCATTGACAAGGCCTTGGCGTTCCAGGTAGACAAGCTGGGCGTCCGCCTCATACGGGGCGACCACGTATGGGATGCCCATTTGCTTCAGCTGTTGAATTAGAGTCGATGCCATTTCTGGTGTGACGTCGATGCAGTTTTGGAACTCCTGAGCAGCTTGCGACGTCTTTCCAGCTTTCAAGAGGTCGTTTGCCAGCTTCTTTTTTTCCTCTCGCCTCTTGGCGCGCGAATTCTCCGTGGCAGCCTTGCTCGGAAGATAGTCGCCATCAAACACCATGTACGGGGTGATTCCAAAATGCTGAAGCATTCGGACGCGGTGCATGGCCGCATTTACATAGCTGGAGGTCGTGGTTAGTCATGAGGGAAGTTGTGAGTTCTATGATGACTACAAACCGTTTGGTGGGCTTGCCTTGGCCGAGTTCTACAGCACATGAGTAGGCAGCTCGGTGAAGCCATCCATACGCGTCGACAGCAAGAGTATCACCTCTGCACTTCCTGAGCTCCGTAGGCCGTTGTATGGACTTGAGCAGGGGCAGAAGCCCTGTGTTCAGGTCAGCTTTGAGGAAACGAGTCGTGTTCGTGTTTACAGGACAGGTACAGACCTGACACGCCCATAGTGAAGGCCAGGGGTTGGCATCAACAGGATATGCCGTAGCAGTATTACTCAGGTCGGCAAGTCGAGGTGTCGAAAAGCGCGTGAGATGTCAGGAGAGGAATTGGAGAAGTCGATGTCGTAGCAGGCCGAGATCAAGGAGGTGCTGCAGCAGGCCAACGCGTGAGATGTTGTTAGATGCGATATGGGGCTGAGAAGGAGCCGAGAGGGAGCTAAGAACAGGATGACGGGTTGAAAGACGGGTTAGACGACGCGATGGTGGAGGTGAGGCATCCAGAAACACGTCGGAATGATGTAGTTTCGAAGCAGGAAAGGCGGCGAGGTGGAGCAGCAACGTTGGGAGGTGGAAGTCAAGTGCAATGAAGATGCAATGGAAGTTGTTTGGCAAAGTTGAGCTGATGCAGACACGACCAGGGGTGGCCAGGGTGGCCAGGGTCGTCAAGGTGCTCCGCAGCGATTGTTCCAGTCGCGGTTGCTGCACTACCGTCGCTGCGCCTGGCCCAAGTGAATTCATCCATTTATTTATTTATTTATTTATTTATTTCAAAGTTGCTTTGCGGAGTATGGAGTACGGAGTACATACACATACCGCCATAACACTCGCTGCACCGGGCTGAGACTATGCCAGCAGCACACCGAAACCGAGTCCATTCAAGATGAAGAATCAACGTAAGGCTGAACGCATGCCATATACGGCGTATCTCCTGGCTAAAGGGCTCCGGTGTTTGCGTGAACGCGTGGATGGACGGGCTCACCGGGGCGAGCGTGGCCCCCCGCGCGAGTTCGCGATGCTGGGGCTCCCGGTCAAGAGCATCGTCCCTCCAAGACCCCGTACTCTGCGGTGTAGAGTAAGTAATGTCTGGTGGTAAATTGAACACAGAAAATTATGGCGGCTCCCGTGGCTTAAAGCGGTTAGTTCCCGCGCCGCCCATCTTGAACATTCGTCTCGGAGCATTCTTCGAGCCCTCGTGGTGAGCGTATCTGCTGCTTCCTTTGTCTCCGAGTGGAGAGGCTCTTACCCGTGACTTTAATGAGAAGACCTCATTCTACATGATTCGTCAAAGAGAAATTCCTCGGACATGCCTCGAAGAATCTGGTGTTGGAAAATATGCCTGCGGACACCCATCGCAGCTCACAACCGGCTGTTCTGAGTGGTGGATGGTCGGTGGGGGCGTCCGCTGCCACAAGATCGGATTAGTGGTTGTATGTCACCGAAAATATCGACCCAACTCTTTTTTTTTTCGGGGCCTCCATTACCGAGACACCATCCCATCTCGACGGACCTGCCGCAGCAACTCGTTCATCCAATATGCCCAGCTCATTACAAAAGACGCGCAAGCACATCGCCAAGAAGAGAAATGGCGAAGTCAATGCCTTGCATGCAAAGTCTAGGGACTCGCTGCGACTACACAAGGCCGGGGTGCGTGACCAGAGACTAGAGAAGCTTGCTGCTGCAAGAAGCAAGAAGGAGCAACCTATTGGTACGAATAACATTTTTCAAGGGAAATTCCATCTGACCAGAAACACTAACCGAATTTTCTTCCTTTTTTGTCCGGCCTAGTTGATCGAGTGAATTTCTTTCGGGAAAGTCTCGCTGAGAAGGATAATCAGCCTCTCGATATCGAGACGGTACAATCTTCTATCAAGAGGTGGGCTGAAATTCATTCTTCTCTTGATGCCACATCTAATTTCTGACTGAATATGAGTAGATTCATTCGTCAATATGATGAGGAATATGATGGCCTCAAAAAGGCTCGTCGTCCAGGCAGGCCTGCCAGCGCCCGAGAAGATTTACTCAAGCTCAAGATTGCCGCATTGGAGAAGGAGTACCAGAATGGATTTGGTAGGTTTGCAGTTTGCTGCAGTTTTTTTGCGTTTCCAAGGCATGCCTACTGATAACATGCAGTAATTCCGAATGTCATGTCTGCCGAGCACGCAAAGAGCTTGGAGAAGTGGGAAGGATCGTGGGCATACCTGACCACTCTGCCTTGGATCAAGGTATCGAGTGCTGGCCAAGTCAGATCTGCCGAGTTTCCCTCAAAAGGCATCAACTGAGGCAGTCAATGTGATCTAGCAGTCTGAAAGAGTGTAATGATTGACGACTGGCTCAACAGATACAGCGACCTCTCTTCAGGACTCACTCAATACGAGCCAGGTGGCCAGTAGCGTCGGTATTTGTTAGGAGGCTCTCTTTGTTTTGGAGTAGACGAAAAAGAGCCCTGATTTGGAGGCAGATTGTTGAGCTGTGAGCAAAGCTCATGCATCCACGTCAGCCATGTTGTGACAATAGCGACGACAGGCCAGCAAAAGGGCGAGTCTCTCGACGAGAGAGACCCCGTTGCCAGTGTCTCCAGGCGTTTGGTGGAGTTTAAATTACATCCGAGCAACGGTATTTTCGGATTTGGTTCTGGCCATGAATGGATGGACGGTTGGCCATTATTCTCAAAGAGCGCATAAATTTATGTGTATAATAAAGCATTAAATGTAAACACAGAGACAACGACTCACGCTATCTACTCCACCACCTCACAATCGTCATCAATTCACAGTTGTATTTCTACTGTCGAAGCATTTCTCGCCCGTCGGGGACGTTGTAGGTCACGTGCAGCACCAAATGGGCCCCTGGCGCGAAGCTCTGCCCCCATAATAGCGGCCGGCCTAAAATTTTCCAAGCTCTTCTGGCATCGCACGTCAAAATCATTCAACTCTTCGGAGCAAGCTTCCATCCTTCTCTTCTTGTCCACCTACTTCACACCCAAATCCATCATCCACAGTAGCCGCTACAATGCTGTCTCTTCGAAGCTTCGCGCGATCGGCCCCCCGGGCCATGACCCGTATTGCCAGTACTTCCATGCGCTCTGGCGTAGCCCGTCCCAGCATGCTCGCCAAATCCTCAGCTATCAGCTCCTTGCGACCTGCTCGCGCGGCTACCTTCTCAACTACTGTCGGGCGCCGTGCCGCCGACGGTGAGACCGACGATGAGCTGTCGGCTAAGCTGGAAAGCGAGATTCAGATCGAGGAGGATATGAAGGCACAGGAGCAGCAGCCCGCTAGCATCAAGGACTTTTTGGATAACAGCCCCTTCGAGCTGATTGACACTCCTGGCCAGGAGGTCGTGAAGCTGGTCCGCTCATTCGGCAACGAGAAGTACGTTACCTGCCCTGTCACGCCAATCCCAATCTCGGCCGTTCCAAGAAAAACTAACCAGCCTCCAGAATCACTGTTAGCTTCTCCATTGCCGACATCACCAACTACGACCCCTACACCGAGGACGCTGCCCTCGAGGACGAGGAATTCGACCAATCGGCCCAATCCTCGGGCAAGCAGTCCAACAACGCGGCCGAGGAAGCAGACGACATGGACGAGCTCGACGAGGAGGCCGCCGCCCCCATCAACCTCTCCATCGTCGTCGAAAAGCCCGGCAAGTCCGCTGGCGCCCTCAACATCGACGCCACCGCCCAGGACGGCAACATTGTCGTCGAGAACATGTTCTTCTACGAGGACGCCAAGGTCGCCAAGGTCGAGAGCCCCGAGTCCGCGCAGAAGCGCGCAGACGTGTACCCCGGCCCCCCCTTCGGCAGCCTCGACGAGGATCTGCAGGTCCTAATGGAGCGATTCCTCGAGGAGAGGGGCATCACGCAGGCAATGGCCGTGTTTGTGCCCGATTACGTCGACGTCAAGGAGCAGAGGGAGTACCTGCGGTGGCTGAGCAATGTCAAGGGCTTTGTCGACGCTTAATCCAGCCCACCCCTCCCTCGAAACAAGCTCGTGTACTTCCAAAGGGTGAGAAAATGCTGAAACGGTTTTCAAATTTCGGCCATGTCTTAACATCTTGCGGCGGCTGGGTAACCTGCAATGTAAAAAAGGGGTTACCGGGGCCATTTACCTCACTCATGTTGTATTATTAGCAGTGTATGTGAACCTGCGTGTACTAGAATGGAAAAAAAAAATCAGAAAAATTAGCGGACTCATTATGTATACACAAAGTCTAATGTTGTATACAGCGCTCATCTATCTCTCGGTGTCTGAAATAATGGGTACGATTGAGTTTTGCATGATATCAAGTCCCCGATACGTCAGACACGACACCACACCACTATGAGCCTCGGAAAACTAAAGACACTCAACTAGGACCTGCAATTCTATAATACGTCCGCTAGAGAACTGGTCCCATACACCCTGTCTCATCTAAAACCAAATCAATACCCTTCATGAATGACTCCGTAAATAAGAAGCTAATAAAGCATATGTAACAGTACCGTCGGGTAGCAATCTCGCCAGACCAAAATGAGGGTATACTCTGCGTGATTCAGCCCCAACGTTGCGTCCCTGTCCCCCGTCCCCCTCCCCCAAAAAATATCCCGTAATCCTATGCAGTTGTGTATATATGATTGTGCAAAAAATCCCACTTGTTTGTCGTTTGCTTCTTCTGCGCTACAAAATACCCTCCATGGACCAGTCGCCCTTTTGCGCTCGCTCTAGGACCTGTTTGCCCTTGTCGGTCAAGTCGGGCTTGCCTCCGTTGCCGACGACGTGTTCGAAGAAGACAGGGTGCCATGTCTCCTTGTTCTTTTCGCGCTCTCGGGCCTTTTCGCGCTGCTTTTCTTCGAGCTCGACCTTGAGATCGGTGGCCTTGGAGAATTGTTTGGCGTGGATGGCTTTGGTCACGCCACCCCAGAGAGTGAGAGACTCGTTGGGGAGCTGCTGATCTTCCGGGGGAACGATTTTGGAGGCGACGTGGAGGGGCGCGATGTCTATGATTGTGTATTGGTGTTCTGGGGATACAGATTTCTGCGAAATCATAGTTAGAGACTTGTATGAGAGCAAGGAAGTGGGGTGTGTGTGTGTGTGTGTGTGTTGTGCTGGATAAGAGCTGGAGGAGGGAAGCTTACCATTGGCTTGGGACCAAGCGAGAAAACGACCTTTTCTCGCCATGGACCGCTCAGACGAACAAGAATGTCCTCATCGGGAACATCTTGTACGCGGGTCTTGGTGTCGTTTTCGGGATCATACCGGAAAACAACACCGTCGATCTTGTTGGTGGTTCGGCCGAGCCAGCCTTCCTCCACATAGTGAAGGATACACTTGAGCTTGGTCTCGGGACATGTAATGTAGGCCATTTCACTGACAGAAACACTGAGAGCCCCCCGCAGGAGACCGCCAAGATGTGCAGCCGGGTGGGTGAGCTGGTACGTCTCGCCACCATATTTATCCAACGTGATGAATATGCCCATGTTGTGCTCTCCCGGAAGCACCTTGACCGAGGTGCCTGTGAACTTGGCACTGATTTGATCAAAGCCCCGAGCTGTGAGGCCCTTCTCCGGGCAAGTAATATGAAAGGCGCTCACGGGCGGGTGGTGAGAAGTCTGTTCGGTGAGGTATGAGATTCGAATCGGCTTCTTGTCTGGCGTTGAGGTCCCGTGCTTGGGAACGGAGAGGGAAACGGTAGATTCATTCTTGTCGCTCTTAGGTGGCACTTTCAAGCTACGCAAGGATCCTTTCTCTGATCCGGACACGCATCCATTGAGCTCCGCCGTTTCGATTCTCGGGGCATTATCTTCAGTTTCCCAGTTACACTATGCAAAAAAGCCATTTGTTAGCGAACACACGTTCTTGGGTCCTCCGACTTCCCCTCGCAACCCCACATGTATTTTGCCTACAGCGGTGTAACGTACTCTGAAGAATTCTCCCAAGCAGGAATTATATGGTTTGCAAGGTTTGCCCTTGGCATATTTCAAGTCCTTGGTCAGCCAGAAGCGGACGACTTCAAGCATGCGGTCGAGGGGTTCCTCCGAGGTTCCAATGGCTATGAAGGCATTGGGGGCATCGAGGTAGGTCCAGTACTCGAGATTCGGGGTCGGCTCCAAAAGCTGCGAGGGCAGGGAAAATCGAACAGAGGCAAGGTCGGAAACGCCTATAAATCTATGAAAAGGTATTATGTTAGCAAACCTGGCCCTCCTTTTTTTTAACAGTGTTCTGCTGCCGGGAAAAGGGCAAAGAAAGAAGCTCCGGGCTGGGGCCGGTATGCCGAGCTCGATGGTTGAAGTGAAACGGCTTAGCGCCCCCTGGTGACGCTTCGCCCAGAGCTCGCCAGGTTGACGGCAAAGGTGTTCTTACTTTTTAAGAATACCCAAAAATGTTCGCAGCTTGGAGCCATCGGTCTGCGGTTCGTCGGGCGCCTCGGTCGCTGGCGATGATGTCGCTGAGGGTGCTGTCGATGACGACATGGCGATAGGCTGTGCTGGACAGTAGATGGTAGACGGTTGCGATGCAGGGCCAACAGCTGAATGCGAGGAATATCTAGCAAGCTAGGGGGTGGTGGAGCGCTGTCAACGGGCAATAGTATATATGTTGCTGTGCCGCGAATGCAGATATAGCAGGCTGTTCGCAGAAACAAGAAGTAAAAGACTACAGCAAAAAGTGACGAGTATATCTATCAAACATGAAGGCGGTGCAGACGATGCAGACGAGCCGATGAAACCCAAACACGGTCGAGCCCCTCCACTGGAAGACGATCTCAGGTGCTCCGACGTCCGGTCTGCGGGGCGCAGCACGAAGGCGTTGCGTGGTGGGACGGCAGCTGGGTGCCGGCGGTTTGGTCTAATGCTCTAAAGCCGGTGGGTTAGGGCGCTGGCGGCCAGAGCACCAGACTGGAGCCAGCACTTGAGGGGGGCGTTGGGGGCGTTGGGGGCGCAGGAGCACTGTGCCGAGACGAGATACTGGTCGGTTCAGGCAAGCTGGCTGCTGGCTGGGAGGCTTCCAAGACTGAGCAGGCGCCAAGGCCAGACTGGAGGCGAAGGCGGGATCAGGCGGGATCAGGCGGGATCAGGCGGAGTGCCACAGGGGGCCAGGGCAGCAGCTAGTAGCAGCTAGAAATGATGACTTGATGGTGTCGTGGCGACGGATTTGGTCGTATGTACCACGCACAGGCAGTCTTGTCGCGAGCACGAAAGGGCGATCCGAAGAAGGGACACTGGAGAACGGACCAAAGAGCAAAGAGGTGGAGGATCGAACCGTCTCGTGCGGTGCGCCAGAACGTCTCTCACCAAGGGGAC